CCCCCCCCTCTCTACCCTGGAGAGCCGACCACACCACCTCCGCTCCGCATCAACCCCTCCGCCCAATGCGTCGGCTGCAACCACGGTCATCCGCTCGGACAGACCAATCTCATTTTGGGCCGCAGCGCGTCGGAAGGACCGAACCCGCGCGAGTGGAAAGGGGAGGGGGCATTAGGGACCGAAGCGCCCTCGGCAGCACCACCCAGAAAGCACATGACCACGCAGAGACAAAAGTAGATGCCGACGTCCTAGTCACAATCATTTGGCGTCCGCGCCTGTGTAAATCACTTTAGCTCTAGAGGTTTGTTAAACTGAAGTGGAGAAATGGGCCGGGGATGTAACGCCAAGTTAATAAAAACAAAATTATTACAAAAATAAGCATGAAATAAACATGTTTATCCAAAGAAACACAATGTTCCATGTTGATATGGTGACATGAGTTTGTTCAGATTGATTGGTATTCAAAAACAAATAATTAAACATTCTTAAAACTAATAGATGTTTTAAGAGTGCCAGGTAAGGGGAGTGGAAAAATTAATTTGCGTGAACTGGCTGGGTTCCAAAACCAGTGGTATGTGATACATCCATTTGACGTTCATCATAAACTACGATTTCAAACTCTTGAATAATAATATAAAAGTTTAGAACTGCTACAACTACATAGAAATTTAAAACTGCAATATCAAACTTAAAAGAAACAAACAGGGGAACAGGGGAACTCTACATACATGGTAAAAACTTAGTAGCACAAAGATAAAAATTATTTGAGTAGAAATAAGACAGAAACAGACTGAAAAGTATTCTAGTATAAACGACAATACATAACAAAGGTCCGTTTTAGATTTTAAAAACTTACGTATAGCACTATTTTAGCAAGCCTCTCAGTTTGGTATTTAATAACACAGAATCAGTTAAAGAAATATAAGTGGCTTTACCTGTTGCAGATCCTTGTTGCATTGTTTCTATCTTGGGGGCAACTGTTGTTCCTTTTCTTGCATTTGTTGGTGTTGGAGGGGACAACATTTTGAAAGTTTCCAAAGTTTCGTTGAGGATTGACAGTAAACTGTGAGTTTAAAAGGAATATTAATAGAGTAAATTACCTATTTGAACATTGCAAGAGAATGAAGGTAGTGAGCCTGATTTAAGTATGTATCAAGTTTTCTTTTACAAAATCAATGAAAAGCTTAAACTAAAGTTAACCAGATAAAACTAGAAAATAAAACAGATTGCATTCTCCAGACGAGATGGAGAGGAAGCGTTTGTAAGTTGGGTTAGAACTACTGGGAGCCTTTACTGTGGCATGATTGACTAAAATTAAAATATTTCTGTGAATGTAAAGGCAATAAGTAATAACAGTAGGAAGGGAGTTACTCTAAGTCACTCACAAAAGTAAAAAAATGTAGAATTTCTAAACAGATGCACAATCTGCATTACCACTAGCAGACAGCCCAGACAACAAACAACAACAAGAGAACAAAAGCCTATCCGCTCAGCTCAGCGTTGCCAACCTCCCGCCAAGTCGGCGCCGTCTGCGCCTGCGCAGGCATGAGAAGGCGCCATTTTTCAAAGTGGAGCGAAGACAGGGACGCACGGAATGCTTAACATTTTAAATAACATTTTTAACAAAATCAGATAAGCTATAGTGTGTGTGCCCCGTATACGTATACTATACGTATACTAGCACAGAAACTGCCCTGTACGTTCAGAAAATTTAAGATGTAACATAAAAACAGGTAAATATGTAACAGTGACTTCTTAGACTAACATACAATCTTCAGATAACATATTCAAAGCCAGGTGAATTATCAACATCATCAAATCAGGGGATCATGTCTTCTTATTTACCAGGAATGTGGAACCAGTGGTCATCGGGAGTGTGGTACTCTGGACACGAGCATTTTAGTTCAGGGTCATGTGAGAAAACACCGAGGAGGCGGGGTGATGATCCACTTCTGGGGCCCCTCAGCTCCTGGTGACAGCCCAGCCACAAGCATTTGTTGCAGTGCGGGCAGTTGGAGGGAGGGTAGTGAGGCTCTGTCGCGATCTCGACGTGGAGCAGGGGGTTCCTCGCCAGGGCCATGTGGACTGCCTCGCTGTGCAGCCAGGAGTGGGGGCATCGGAGAGGCGATCCCGGCCCCGGCCTCAGCCAAACGCTCCGCAGAGCCGGGGTCGTCTTGGCACCGATGCTCAGCAGCAGCTCGTCCACATCCACTGCCACGCCGTTCAGCTGCACTCGGCGCAGCAAGGGCAGCATGGGGAAGGCGCCGAGGGGCGGCCGCCGCTGAGGGAGAGACTCTGCCACGTCGTAGCAGGTGCTGCTCTGGACCGTCAGCGTCTCCACGCGGGACCTGGCCAGGGCGTGCACCAGATCCAGGCCGACGTTGGAGGCGGGCAGCGTGAGGTGGACTTCGCGCAGCTGCTTGAGGCGGCCGACGAAGCTCGTGGTCCCGGGGACGGGCAGCATTGGGGTGTCAATGACGAGGGTCAGGACGGTCAGCGACCCGCACTTCACCATGGCCTCCATCCCGGGGAGCTGGGGGCAGTGGAGGACGCGAAGGTTCGGCAGGTCGGCCAGCAGGGACGCCGTCAAGGTCGAGGTCGAGGCCAGGCGTGGAACTGCACGACGAAGGTAAACCTCGGTCAGAGTGGCGGCGTGCCTGGCCAGCACAGTGTCACAGAAGCGTTGGAGCCCCGGCCTAAAATCGCTGTCGAAACACTTCAATGACGACACGGACGTGGCCCTGGGGCAAACAGCTTTGACCAGGGTCGGGTGGCCTTCCCACGCAGCATAATGGCGAACAACAAGCTTCTCCAGGACGACGGGCGAGGCAGCTGTCATCAGCAACAGGGAGGCCTCATCACGAGATACAGAGTGCCCGATGTCGATGTCAAGGCGCCTTAGCCGACCCAAGGCCTCTTGGTGGCGGATCATCAGTGCAGCTCTCGTGCAAGTGTTTGAGCCAACAGTCAGTCTCAACTCTGCCGCTGCACACCTCGTCGTGAAGTACGGCCTTAGCTCTTTAGCACAGTAACTGCCCTTAGAAAGCTCGATTCTCATACTTCGCAAGCACGGCGCCAGACGTAGCACCAGCGGCGCATCGTAAGAGTCCATGATTTCGCAGCTTCTTGGGCTGTTTGAATAACGATTCCGCCCAAGTTGTCGATGCCGCCACACATGAGGGTGAAAAGCGAAAGCCCCGATCCGCTTGGACACTAGGCGGCATGTCAAGAGGCTCCGCACATCGAGGTGCCGCATCAGAATCAGCAACACGTCGTCAGGTAACACGTCCATCCTAAGAAAAAAGATACGGACACGTACTGCGATTACAGTGCGACTAGCCTTAAGGGTGAACCTTTTAAAACACGGGCTCAAGAGTCATAGGTGTTCACGGGCGAGAGGGGGGGGGGGGGAGTGTTACTTTAGGCTGGTCTGCCTATATCTCAGAAGAAACAACATGCTTAGGAGCGAAAGTTACGTTTCTATGACTTTGAAGTATGACAGCTTCGTTAAGGTCCCGTCGGCCCCAAAGTGGAGTTCATCACGACCCATCTTTATCGCACTAGAGTTCACATGTTTATTGACAAAACTTACTTTACAAATTAGTTTACAAAACTTCGTGAACGCATGATAGACTGCTGTTGTTGCAATGCACGCAACCCCATCAGTAGCGATTCAGCGCACTAAGAAAACCCGATGCTGATGGCATTGAAGGAGATTATCCATCGGTTGACCAAGGTCGAGAGGCCTACCTTTTCTGTGAATATATGCAGCGTTAGCGTTGAGTTAATAGGTTAACGACGACCGGGCATGAGGCATGTGAGATGTTCAGCAGGTTGAGACAGGCACGGCGGACAGGGTGGACGGTGGAGGGTGGAGAGTAGTGAGGCCGGGCACCACTAGCGCCATCTCACGAATATTTTCCAAACCAAACCGAGGTCGAGCTGTAGGGTAGGGGGTTTAGGGACCATCATAGGGCCACCTATAAATGTGAAAATTCGGCCAAAATCGGAGGGGGGGGGAGGGGTTGTCGTCTACCCTGACGTCAACGTGGACTATGATATTTAAGCTCTTAATATTCATTCATATACATTTTCGAAAGATTCTTTTTTCATACTTTTTTGGGGTTGAGGGTGCAGGAAGGAAAGGGAGAGGGGAAGGAGGGTGCGTTTGTCAAATTTGGATCTCCAGCGAGGGGGTGGATCGTTCTGACGAAAGTGGGTCCTTAATGGCTGCGAAAAAGCTTCCCAATGAATGCAAAACACTCTTAGTCACGTGACTACTGGCTAGTTAAAATTTACTCAGAACGTCACTTTGACAGTCAAATCACAACAAGAGAGTGTTGCGTGTTCACTGGACAACTGGGATGGGTAGTGGGTAAAATCTACGTTGCAATTATAGGCACAGAGTTAAAAAGTAAAAGGACTGGATGTCACTAATAAAAAGTCTTCTTCTATACCACACCCCTCTAGCTTCCAACATAAATTGAATTTATTTGACTACAGAAAACTTCCTTTGCTGCCTAGTTTCATCCCATCCCAGTGTCCAGAGTAAATGTGAGATGAATTATCAGAATTTGCAGATAGTTGAGAAAAATAAGACACAAATTGATCAACAAAATATTTATTTCTTGACTGAGAAACATGTGGAAAAGAATCCAAATTCAATTATTATATTAAGGCAATGTCAATGAGTCAGTCAATGTAAGTGCACTAATTCATGGTTCTTCAGTGGCTTTTAACAAGAACTAAGAGAAAGAATAGACATGTGTGATGTAAGAAGTAAAGAATTTCACTGGTACACACAGGTACCTGTAGGATCTCTTTAGGCTACAAAAATAGGTACTTAGCGGAGACTATTCATCTTCACACATGCATGGATATTTTTAATTTGTAAAAGAATTATACCTTTGAAAAATGTTATTAAAAGAGGTTATTCTGACCAGCAGAATATCTGATCTTTTATTTCAGATCACATCAATAAAAGTATAGCAGCCCAAATTTTAATTATAGGTAAAATGTTTAATGCAAACAACTTTAGACTTTAAAGGCAGATATTATCTAAACGAACAAATTACAGGTAGAAATTAAGGAAGGGTAACTATTAGATTGCCCCTCAATTCTGCTTTTGGCACACTGATGGCATGACATGGCACTCACTTCACAATAATGTAGCATACTCTGTGTTCTGTTTTGCAACCTAAATCACAACAAAAAGTGCAAACTATTCTTCGCATACCGGATGCAGCTGTGGATACGCAGCAGTGTTGCAGGATTGCATACTCAATATGGCCGCAGGGGCCATGGCCCCTTACGGGTGTGAAGAGTAGGCAAACCCACTGCTGCGTTTTCCGGTACATTCTGAATAGGCACCTTGCTTGGTTAAAAAAAAAAACAAAGAAAAAGAAATTGGAGCGGAATGTAACCAACGCAAGTTTTGTTGTCATAGTGTCACATCTTTGACAAAGCACTGAATTTTCAATATAATATATGACATGGTAGCAATTTTTTCTTTTTGAATTAAGTAAATGAAAAGAGTGTTACAACAAAATGACGCAATAATGTCTGTAACCCAGAACACAAAGGTTTGTTTAGGTTTAAAAGCCAGACCTGACGTACACACCACATAAAATTGTTCGTGATTTTATGAAGTACATAAAAAAAACATAACAATTAAGAAAATGAAAACTTTGGCTCAAAAATCTTACAATATTGCAGTTATGTATAAAATATGGGAAGATAAATTAAATTATCAATAAAATGACAAATTACAAATGTTAACAAATGAAAATCTAGAAGATAAAACAATCTAAAAATGCAATGTTTCATGTAAATAGGGGACAAAATATCCATATAAAATTTTGTATTGTCTAAGTTTAAGACTCACCTAATACAGTTACAAGACTCAATAAATAGAAATATATACATACATAACACAACATTACACTTAAACACTAAAAATTAAACAGTTCTATATGTAAACCTGTATCCATATCTATCACAAAGTTCAGAAAAAGAAAAAAACAAACAGATACAGGCAACCTCATGAAATTGGTTTGAGAAAGTCAGCAGCAGCATTATCAGCAACAACTCAAACCCTCCCCAAAATGACTGAATTGTATCTGTTTTGCAAAATCTCAAGAAGTCCTCCCGCTTGTAACATCACAATAGGTAGTTTTGAGTCAAAACCTTGCCCAATGTTTAAGTCGAAGGAAAATGCAGGAAAGTCAACTTGGATATAGCATACTCGTTACACACAGTAACATTTGTACAAAAATACATATCTTTTTGGTTTAAACATGAAGGCTACGTAATATTAAATGGCAGTGTTGGCTGATGTGGTCACAAACAGTCACACCATTACTACAAATTCAGTACAATACAACCAAATAAAACCAATCCTTGGCTATTTGGTTATGATTTTAACATATTTTAAAAACCATACAAAGTTCAACACTCATTCCGCTGCTTTTATCAGTCTTTAACTTTCAGAAAATTCACTAAAGATAAGATAATTATTAAGATACGGATGAACTTAGTTAAGATGGTAACATTCAAAACTCTTCTGTAAACCTTACATTCAAGTATACAGTAGCAAAATTTTCAAGTACTGTACAATTACGTAGATTCTCAAATTTTGTTGACCCCATATGCAACCACAGAATGAGCAAATAAAGACTTACAAGTAACTTACAGGTATGTACAAGGCAACTATGATTATGTATCTGAAAATGGTAAATTTAGCTGATATCTGGTAATTAGTACAAAAATTCTTATCACATCTCAGACTTTAAGTCAAATTTAACATTTCCAGTGCATTAAAAATTTAAAATAAGATAATGTCTATCTTTCTCTTGGATCATTGGCAATATAATGGGTAGGCTCTGGAAGAGCTGAAAAATAAAATTAAAAAAAAAAAAAATTAGCTACAAGCAAGTTAGAACCACATGCTAATCAATCAATAATTCCAAGATGGAACTTACATGCAGCCTCCTTTTCAGCATCCTCTTTATCTCTCCTAATGTACAAAGCAGTAAGGAGGAAAAATATTCCTCCTAATACTTCAATGAAACATGTTATAAACAAAGCATATTGCATACTATGAAATTCCACTAAATCACTCTCTTGAACCAAGGATAATGTGCTATTCATTGCATTATGTGCTAAAGATTCTGGTCTAAGAACTTCTTGAAGTTTTTCAGAGACCTGTAAAGAAAAGTTTGTTAAAAAATAAGCAATACAAGAAGTGTCCAGATCAATTATGTTTGTCTTTTGATTAGATATTTTTAATTACCAAGCCTATTAGAAATGGGCTGCTTGCATCTCCTAGGGCATGTGAGAACAGAATTTGGTAGGCTTCAGCAGAAGATCTTCTTGTAGGAGGAACAACATACTGGAACAATACAAAATGTAAATGAAGTAACCATCAAATTTTTTAAAAATATTTCAAATTTTTCAAAATCAGTCAAGTTTCTTACCAATAAAATGTCAGCAACAATAGACCAATTTAGGTTCAAAAATAGCTCTCCAACAAACATTAGAAAGTAGCACAGTGCCATATTTGTTGAGGGCGTTAAAATGGCAAAGAAGCAGATGGGAGCGCTGATAATCAACCCAACACCGCACACCAAAGGATCAATGCGAGCACATCTTGACCTCAAAAGCTGGGCCACAAATGGACCAAGTGGGACTCCAATCAGACCAGCGAGCATAGCAATCACCCCAAACTTGAAAGACACACTGAAAACAAACCAAAACATTGTAAGATTAAAATAATATGGTACAATGATGTGCAAGCATAAAAGTAGTATACATAAATACTGACTCATCTGTTTTAGTTTCATTGCCAGGTATAAGGCTGAATCCTTTGGCAAGGAATTTGGGTCCAAAGAAGGCAAGTGCGCCCGTGACAAAGGCCACACAAGTAAATCCAGCAGTTGACAGAAGGAATGATTTACTAAAATAAAAAGTGTTTTTGTTTTAATATCTGTTCTCCACAGATTCGATCAATTAGAGATTAAACAAAAATAATGGATGAAACAACTTACTTGGAGAAGAGAAGCCTGATGTCGTCCTTCCATGAGCTGTGAGAGACATCGGCATGTGTTCCCTCACTCTCCCCTCGTACAGGCTCCTTCATGAAGCACATTATGAGAATAACTGACGCAACACCAAGTGCTGGAGTTAGTCGAAGACTCCAGTGCCAACTTCCAAGGAGGGTGGCCATGTAGGCTCCTACTATGTATCCAAGACCACTAAAATAACAAGAATAACATAGATTAATTTTAAAATGATCAATTTAATGATTAACAGGTATATGGATCTTGCTACTGGAATTGTTGTATTTAATTTACCTGCCAATGGGGATAGCAAAATAGAATAGGGCAAGCATTTGTGAGCGTTTTTCTTTCACAAACATATCACTTATAATAGTTGGTGCAATGGTTGAGTAGCTTGCCTCACCAATTCCAACAAATGACCGGAACAAAATGAAAGTTCCATAATCCTAAAAGAAGAAAGGCAGAAGTTAAGTTTTAAATAGATTAGAAAATATCAATAATGGACAAAGCAAAAGCAGACTTACATTCATAAAGGATCCTGCGAGGGTTGTCAAACTCCACATAAGTACCCCGCCTGCCATAATGACTTTCCGGTTGTATCGATCTCCGAGGTACCCAAAAATGGGAGCAAAGATCATATAACTGACGACAAAAGCTGTTTGTAGCAGGCCTGCTTTATCATCTGATATGTTAAATTGCTTCTGGATGTCTACAAGAACACCTGAAACACACAGAAAAAAAATTGAGATTAAATAATTTTCTATTGAATTCATGTCCTTACAGATAAAACTGTTTTTAAAAACGATCGGTGGCCTAGAGCCGCGTGTTCTCATTCGATTTTCAATTACTAGAGACGGTTACCAGTACACGCATTTTTTATGCCTCTCGTATCATTTTTTCCCCATTTGCCTCCTTATGGGGGCGGGTGGGCCCGTATGCACATGCACCATCACTTCGGGGCGCACACAATTGAGATTGAGAGCGCTAGGGCAAAAAGCAGTGCAGGGAAAGAGAGGGGGAGACAAGGCGGGGAAGGACAAGGGGGGAGA